GGTGTGCTGCTTTCGATTTCGCTACTGGTGCCGCTCTGTTCGAAGATCTGCGGTTGCAGAACGCTGGACAGCGACGCGAACACGCCGCTGGAGCCGTTCGTGAAACTGTTCCTGGAGCAGGCCAGCGACCATGACTTGCACTCGAAGGGCGACACCTGCGGTCCAACGACCGACAACAAGGTGCCGGCCAAGGAGACGATTACCGAAGTGCAGCCGAAGGCGCCCGAAGTGAAGGCCATCGATGTCGCCGACCTGGTGGATAAGCAGCAGTGACCGACTTCTAATTTAATTTTTTTCAAACTCCTCAAATAAATTCCCTCGTTTCCAGTTCTGTGTCTGTTTGCCAAAGTTTTTAAGGCAGCTGTCGGAACGACAGCATCGCCTCACGAGTAAGAGTTATGACCAACGACTACCTTCCAATCTGAGGCTTCATTGATTTATAAGCAGAACATGTTTGCATAATTTTATTTTTTTCTCACTGAGGGAAAATACCTGCGGATGTATTTGGCAACGAATTCAGTTTTCCACCTGAACACGTGAACACCTGAAACGTCTCGGTGGCCGTCTCCCTTACTGGACAAAAGATTGTTCCCCTCCTTTCAGCTGCCTTATACAGATTACTTGGAATTATGCCTCTTGATGACGTCACAGTTTCTGAGCATGAGTCGTTGACCACCATATCAAAAAGTGACCTCCAAATCGTTGGACATCGTAGCTGGTCGATGGAACTGTAGACGGTAAAAACAAGCCGTCGAATTTAATTTTGACTATTCAGCCGGGCATCGTTTTTCTGATACAGGAGTTAACCAATCGGTGAGGTTTACATTCTTAAAGACCAACCGTTTCTTTCCTTTCATCAAGCCGTGTGTATGTACAAACTTTAAAAAAAACAGAAGGGTTGCTACTGAATGAAGTCTCAGGGTGCCTTGAGTAACGAAAAATATTATAGATGTGCAAAAACATACATTTTGTCATAAAGTCGATATTTTCATTTTAAACTCTTGTTTTTTTCGAGAAACGAAACTCGAATAAGGTAGAAAATATTCGTTTAGCGAAAACGAGGTAGCCTTCACCGAAAAGAGGAAGCGAACTCAAAATATCGTCAGTTTTATCAGCCGATTTTTGATCAACTGCTGGATGAGGGTCGCCAGAACTTTGCCATAAACTTCACACTTGATCCAACGAAGCTTGAGCTTCTTGAGCTCATCCTGTCGTCGATCTAAAGGCGTTCCTACGTGTCGTTTACTCTCTCTTGGAATCCAATCTCTCGTTCTTCTGATCCAGCGATGGTAGATTCTTCATGCAACGTGCCCTGCGCATTGCCGCTTCTTCACTAGGACGATGACATCCAAAACGGTAAAATTACACCATTCATTTGTCTGGCTATTTCTGTTATTCCCAACAAACATCCTTCTATCCTTGTCTGCAGTTTATGAATAGCTTTCAGGCCTGGGATCCAAGTTTCATATCCGTAGGTTAGCATTTGGAGGACACACTGGTCGAAAACTTTCTGCTTCGAACACAAGGGCAATTTCTCAGATAAACTGAGAAGTCCTTTTCTGGATGAGCACCCACAGATAGTATGACTACTCTGAAACAGTTTTTAATAATCACGCACGTCAAAGACGGTAATAAGAACAATTTAAACACAGCGTCAACCTGCACATTTCGAACATTGTTATAATAGCGTTAACCTGATCAATAGTAATATACTATTATATACTTTTCGGAATACTACAAACGAGAGCAACCCATGAACCCTGCTGATGATATAACGAGAATAATTTGACGGGTCCAGTGAATCACAGCCTCAAGAGCAGCTCTCAACAAAAAGCGTGGTCTTACCTCGCATTTTCTGATTTAAGTACATCAGAGCACCACGCTGCCCTGCTGTTCGTAACTCACTGACTTGGTACCACTTTCTCGGCTGGTTGCAGCATCAATGCAACGGTATGTAAATTCGCTACTCAAGGGAATTCGTGGTTCAGATTTTCAAGGATGGATAGTCCATCGGCATTTGTGCAAGCAAGCCGAGTTACCAGTGAAAAAGCAATGGTGGAAACATCAACCAAAAGAGGTGAGAAAGAGTGAGCAAATGAAATTGCTCTGGGACTTCCAATACGGATGGAAAAAGAAGTATCCGCTCATCGCTCGGATATCGTGCTAACAGACAAGGCACAGAGGCGGGTACAAATCATTGATATAGCATACTCAGCTTACGGCAGCATTGTCAGTAGAAAGGAAAGCATACTGTAATATCGAGAATTGTGAATGGAAACATAAGAGATCTGGAGAGTTAACGCGCAGTCATTTCTGTTGTGATCGGTGCCCTCAATGCAGTGAAAACAGACGTTCTACCTCTGTCAATGTAAGATGATTAAGCGATTAAGGTGGATGAAATGCTGAAGTCCATCCTGCTAGGACCGGGTAGGATTTTACGAGTACTGTGGCTCTCTAACTCTCGAGAGAGTTAGAACTGAAGCATTGTTCATATCACTTATGTCGTATTTCATTGACTGAGAGCGAAATAAAAAATATGCAAATATGACAAAACATTTCCAAAATAAACCAGTTGTAAAAACGCAGATGATTTGCTGATTCTTGGTGGATATCATCAGCGAGATGTCAATTCTTCATTGACGCGCTTCGCGTTGTCAGAACACAACTGATTTGCAGGCAGCAGGCCCTTTCATGCGATACCTTCACTTATAGCGAGTGGCAGAGTAACATAAGATTTTAACCAGCATATCAATAGCTTTAAATTTTTTGTTTTAAGCTCGACTACTCATCAAGTCATTCCAAACCTAATCGGCGACTGCACTGGTTTCACTTATCACGATGGAAGACCATTAATTGGATGTACGATGTCTTATCACAGAAATGGGAACTCCTTGACCATAGGACCTAGCCGAAGCAGGTCCTTGTCAATTACAGATACGCATGTCACGCATACACGAGATGATATAACCTTTAGGCAGATCACAAGCGGCAAGACAACGCATAAAATGTTCTTTAATTAGGGACTGTAAACTACGTAGCTACTTAGGCATTTTCAGATTTGGTCAGATATTTAAGATATGAACGGCAAAATTACAGTACGCCTGCTCTGGCATGTCTTTGTCAAAGAGGGTACGAAAATTCACTCCGCACTAGCGTCTTTGAATGCCCACTTTTCCCACATATACGGTAAGGGTCGCATTTCTGTCTAGGACGAAAACAATATAACATGTTTCTTGTACGCATAAACGCACCTTCCTCACGATGCAAAGAATCTGAAAAGATTGAGTGGGACTCAAGCTCTCAGGTGTAAATGTCAGTTCAAGTGAGTTGGTCAATATACAGAAACCTCAATTTAAGCGATAATGCTATTTACAAACATGTCGACGACTGGTACATTCTGTTTCACCTCAGTCTTGGCAGTAAACCATATTCGACCGTTGATGTAATGCCCATTAATACAACGGGAAAAACTTTTCAGCTGTTCGATCACTCTGGAACAAAACAAAGATGTCATCCACAAATCTTATGTAGAATAATTGCCGAAATTATGCTGGGCTTCCTTAAGGACCTTTATCTCTAAAATATTATTTCTCTCCCTAACACGGATTGAGCATGATCTCAAACGTTGCTCTGCATGTATATAATAAATTCAGCATAGGGTGTTCGTACTTTCCAGCTATGTGAATTTCTAAGAGGAACAACAGAGGGCTTAAATTACGAAAATTATATTATTAGACTGGGCATGTTCAGCTGGCGTTTGAGGACATGCTCATTTGTGAGGCATGCACACACAATGTAACAGCTATGTTGCCGTAAGGCCCATGGGATATTTCCTCATCCAGTTCTGCTAATGGTTAGGTAGGTCTGGCCCTTTAGTACTACTATATGACCGAGACTGGTTCCTTGTTTCTTTCATAGCTAACTAAAGTTTCAACCGTTGAAATGTATATCATTGCATCATTTAAAAATTCCATGGTTTGGAATAGATCATTTCTGGCTGAGCTATTCTGAGATAGGTACTACAGTGGCACAAGTTAAAGGGACGCAATGAATCACACTGACTTAAAGATTTATATGGACGTCTTATAGGTTTCATGTTTAAAACTTATCTGACTCATGATGCTTCTTGCGTATCTCTTAAATGGTTACTTTGTTCTCTCGATATGTGTGCTACAGTATTTTAGTGATGTTACTTTAACCGTTTTGATAATTGAAACTGATATAGCTCTGTGCGCTGACGTTTTCTGATAGAAAAGTTTTCTTTGATTTAGGTCCTTTGACTTTGTTTGAAGACTGTTCACCATTTTAGAATCCTGGAAGAAAGGACTGGTGGCCATAGTTTAAAATATTTCTATAAAAACACTAGCCGAAGCTTTTTACTATATCGTCAATCCAGTGAAAGAAGGATAACAAACCATATGCAAAATCAGAAGGTCCAGAACAGCTTTGACAGGTTGTATCATAAAAATAAAAATAAAAATTACGTTTTTCAATGATGAAAACATTGCAAATCCAGCTAAGTGGTGTTGCCCTGTTTGCTTCAGTACTCATATTGCTTTTGCCCTAAAAAAGGTTTGTGTGCGAGGCCTTTGACAGACGATGTTACAGAATTGTTGCACAATTCAGTTGCTGGCGTACGATCCAAACTAATGACTCAGGAACGTGCAGGGACAAGCTAAATCGCCTGCAAACAGCTTCATTCATTCGATTGAGCGATTTACAGTAATTCCCTGAGATGACAGACCTTTGTTCCTTAATAGGTTTCAAGCATTCGAGATGTGAGAGCAGCTTTCTTTATTTGCATAAGAAAGTTACAACATACCAATGGAACCTGTGACGCATACGCATTTCGATCGATACTTGGAAAGTTTCTGAGTCTACTGAAGAAAATGGATCAAGCAATCACTTGTTATTTTCTGTTCAGAGGACAGACGCTAGATGTATTGTTTTGTGCCACATTCTCTTGTCTTTTGTGATTGCTGTGGCGTCGATGATGTGAAGTTGTGCCGTTTGCACGATGTGGTTCAGTCAGCCCACAGTGATGTTCAAACTTCTAATTTTTCCCGTGATCAGCATTGTTTCTCACGGTTCACGCTTGAAACGTCATAAGTAAAAATCAATAATTGGAATAACATAAGGTACTAATCGAAAAGCTGCCATTCTTGGTATGGTTCCACAACATCAGGTAGCTTTTGCTTTATTTTCTGCATGAAGCACTTTCTGCACTAATGTTTTTTTAATGACAAGGGTTCAGTATCAAGTTGCTATAAAAT